GCAATACAGCCAAATAAATGCTGCCAGCGTTAGAGGTACACTGCCACAGGGGCCAAACTTTTTAAATTTGTTTAATTTTTTTTTATTACTTTGTAGGTAAAGATTGAAAATTCTGTAAATTTGATTGTTATGTTTAAATTTATCAACAACATATTTAATCATGTTCATCATGTTTATAATTTTATCAAAATAATAAATATATTAATTACAAAATTACCCTCAAAGGGTTATAGAACACTAATTTCCAGCAAATTTACGTATAACTTAAAATCCACCTTGCACAATGTAATGGTATTTGTTCTAATCGAACCCCACTCGATACACTGAGATACTCGAATAAGCTTAGACATTTCAGGAATAAAACTTACTCTATGTTACAAATATTATCTTAATAAATATATATATATATATATATATAAATATTATACTATTATTTTAATAATGCTTGATTTTTTACAACTATATTCACAAATACAAAATCGCTGTTGTGTTTCCAAAAATACTGGTTTATTTGCTTCTTGTTACTTAGACATAAGTGGTTTTGAGAACTAAAAACTGAAGAATTCAAACTATTTATTAGTTTATAGTATATCTATAAAACAACATAAGTATACTATTATAAATTTTAGCAATATACAAGTTAGGTTTTAGTACAACAAACCAAAACAATATCGAATATTCGGATATTTGATATGAGGAAACTATGGAAATTTTACCGCTGAGAGGAAGTATAGGGTATCTCAGCCCGATTTTAAACATTAAATATTCAATTATAAAAGCAAATTATATTTGTAATATTATTTATAAAAAATCAGTGGCGCTACAACCTCTTTAGGTCTTTTCCTTAGATTTCTGGATCTGTTTCATGATCATTTAAAAATCTAATAGGCAAGTAGGTGATCAGCCTCAAATCACACACGCCGTCGACTTTTTGGGTCTAAGACATGTCGGTTTCCTCACGATGTTTTCGTTCACCGTTCGAGCAAATGTTAAATGCACACATAGAAAGAAATTCCATTGGTGCACAGCCGGGGATCGAACCTACGACCACTAGACCAACACTGCTCAACAATACTAAACAAAACAAAACAAACAAAATTTGTAATATTATAGTTGCAGTAAATTATAATGTGTTAGTGCGGATTTTATGTACGGAATATTACACCGTCAAGATGTCTTCCATCACAGTGAATGCACTCTTCAAAGCGGATTAGCGAATTTGCAGAGACGCAGGACGTCAACTGATATGGCTCTCACTTCTGTCGTTATTTTAGTCTTCAACTGCACAAAATTCATAAGAGGGGTATCATAGCTTTGAGCTAACCCCATAAAGAAAGTCAGCTGGGGTTAAGATCCGGGTGGCCACAATATTTCTCCAAAGCGGCTTATTATTTTTCCCGGAAACAACGCCTTTAGTGTGTCCATGGAGACCTTAGCTGTGTGGGCTGTGGCCCCATCTTGCTGAAACCAAACACCTGACTTGCCAATATCCTCTTCTTGCAGCTGCGGTACAAAAAAAATTATGAACCATATCAATATACCGCTAGCTCGTCACTGTAACCGGTGCACCTCGGTCATTCTCGAAGAAAAATGGCCCGAAGATTTTCTTCGCCTATATTGCACACCATACAGTAACTTTGGGTCTATGTAATGCTTTCTGATGTTTTTGTTTTGAGTTGCTTGATGACCAGTAACGGCAAATTTGACGTACCCTTCGAGGTGAAAGTGTGACTCATCACTTAAATAAACATTTTCCTCTAAAAAAACTTGCATTGTGCGTCACTCAACGAAAGCTCATCGCAAAAGTACGCCTCTACTATGACACGGGTTACCAAGAAATTTGTGTTTAAAGTTTAAAATCGACGCTGAAACACCCTTTATATTTCAACTTAGCACGTTAATAAATGCTTGCAAATGATCTAAGTCTTGGAACTACGGGTAAGTCTAGAATTAGCGCTAAGCCAGACCCCCGTATAAATATTGTGTCAAAAACCTATGGTATTTTGACATAATATCAATGTATAATGTCATCCTTTGACTCAAGTGACTTTGTATAGTAGTTAATTATTTTATTCCGTTGTTTTGATATATTATCCGTTATAATAGGCTTTTCTATACTTATATAATCCCTGTGAGAAACTTAATATATCACATTTAAATTTTAATTAAATCGTTAATTTACTGAGCATTTCGTTCCTTTATGTTTAATTCACACTTTGCGTCCGTGTATGTAAGCTGAAAGCAGAAGAAAGCATAGTTTAAATAATTACTTAAGGCAGTGAGAAAATTCCCAAATCGTGGTCGTAAATATTTCAATATAAGTACATTATAAAACGTGTTGGCTATTTTTTTTTTTCTAATATTAAAATTTTTATTCCCAGTTATCCATGCTTAGTAATATAAATATAACGTCTATGAAATATAGCTTTGTAACACAGGATAAAAACATCACACGATATAATAATCATACACGATTTATGGGACTTTTGCTTCCCTCGATTTAATTGGTTGCACGTTGTCGTGATAAATTTTGGAACTATGGGTCAAATTAAATCTTTTTGTGCTAGATAGTCCATTTATTCAGGAAGGCTATGACCGAATACAGGGGGGAAACCGCAGAGCCGCAGTTATCTTAAACGTTATAGTTTCTGTTACCTAAATCATATAATTCGAATCAAAATTTATTTTATCATATTGGTAATTATGTTCACATATGAACGTCAATATTTAAAATGGAAGATTAAATTTACATTTACTGCCAGTTCCCAAATCAAAGGCGTAGAGCGCCCGAGATAAACTAGCAAGAAACTCCCCACCGCTCTTTTTAATCGCCAATTTTTTCGACACGCTTCCCTTGACATATTGAAACAAAATGTCATAATAATAAAATAACAAACACTTAGCATCAGTAGGCAAAACAGAGCTTCTTATTTATTGAGAGAAATTCGCGATTCTTTTACAGTCCTTTCAAAGAGAAAAAGTCAAAGTGTGGCATTCCATTTATGTCGAGAGTTATTAGAGACATCATAACCAGTGAGCATGAACTTCGTTACATTATGATTATTTCTGTCAAGTTCCAACGTGCGTAAACATTGTTACATTTACCGTCAGAAATAATGTCGAGACTTTGCGCTAGCTAAACAAGTACTAAAATTATTGCAGTGAAACTTCTTTATCGAGGTTGGAAAAAAATTTAGTGTAACATTTTTTCGTTACGCGTCACATTTTTCGGTTATGCGCCATGTTGCTTTTTGAAGTCAAACTTCTTTATCGGCGTTGAAATGAAACTTCTTTATCGACGTATGGGAGAAATTTTGTAGCAAATCGTCACGTTTTTCAATGATAGTAATAATTATTTTACAATTAATGAAATTCTATAATAATCTTCGTAGTAATAAGGTAAAATGAAATATTTGTATTCATGTCTATGATAATAAAAGCCTTTTGTTAAACTTTATCTAATTTAACGAATTTCTGTAAAGTTGCATATAGTAGATCATTTTTCGAAAAATAAGATCATAAAGAAGTTTCACTTCTTACGTGTGTACACCTAGTACACGCACAATTTATTTATTTACCTTGGGGATTATATTGAAGTTGCCAAGAATGTTGTACAGAAAAAACAACAATATCTATGGAATGTCGTTGATCCCTTGGAAAATGGGAAGGGCTTTAGTATGGGATGCAACCTGTGTAGATACGACGTACAAACGTCGTTTGCCCCGTCTCACCTCCTTCGCACAAGCAAAAAAGCTGGGGCGGCCGCAGAGCAGGCAGAAAATAATAAACGGCACAAATATAAGAGTCTCTTCTCCAACTTCGATTTTGTTCCCTTTGGAGTAGAGACTCTTGGACCGTGGGGTTCAAGTGCACATGCGCTTATTAAAGATTTAAGTTGGCGCCTAGTAGATAGTACCGGTGACCCCAGAGCTGGCACTTTCCTGGCTCAACGAATAAGTATCGCAATACAGCGAGGAAATGCTGCCAGCGTTAAAGGTACACTGCCACAGGGACCAAGAGGAACTTTTTAAAATTTGTTTTGATTTTCATTTTAACTATTTTTAATTATTTCTATTATTACTTTGTAGGTTAAGAAAATTATAAATACTGTATACTTGATTGTAAATCGATGTAAACTTAATAAAAAGTAATTAATTCTATGACGTGGAATAAGTGAAATAATATCTATGAAAGAAAGAAAAAACCTTATTTCATTTAAAAGAGGGTTGTTTAGTTAAAGGAGAAAATGCACTTGCCCCTAGGATACTCAGTGTCGTAGGCAGGCTCTTCCATTTGACATATTATTAATTAACAGTACTTAACGTTTTTCTACGTAACAATTACCTACAATTTTATAATTAAACTACTGTTTCACACTAAGAATTCTTTCCATTTCATAGAAAAGGTTGGGAAGATATTGTTTAATATTGATAGTGAATATATAATGTTTTGAATCATTAGTGAATACTCTGTCTTTTACTGTTTGCGTGTTGTTTCCACGAAAATTTAAGTGCGTGCTCCTATTTCACCATGCCTCCTGCTGATAGAGGACAAGTCTTAGTTTTTAATTTATTTTATTATTATTAATTACTTAAGATGTCATGTTGAACACGGTGTAATGGTGGCAGCTCCTTACAAACGTTGTGTAAAAAAAACATGCGGATTAAAAAGAGTGGTGGAGAGTTTATTGCCAGTTCTTCTCCTCCGTTCTACGCCCTTGATTTGAGGACTAGCATTAAATGTAAACTTAGAAGCATTTCATATACATTTATTTTTTGACGTTCATAAGTGTTCATTGTGTTACCTATATGATTAAATGATGTTTGACTTTTGAATTTGACTTTTAAGAAAATAGTTAGATACACAGAAACGTCAAACTGATAACCTCCTTTTGTTTAAAGACAAAACATGGCGAACGGTCTCAACTCTGAATTTTATCCTTAAACCCTTTAGAATTTAGAAGTTTACCATCGTATGTCCGATGCGGGCACCGCGGGCAACTAGCAAGCGAAGGCTGTCTCGGCAACTGGCGCGGTCCCTCCCGACACGAGAGCGGCCAAACGACCACTGCATTTCCTCTTGATTCTTTGTGTACCTCGATACCTGGAGGAGCGGACACTTTGCGAGCATTAATTAACACATTTTAATTGAGTGTTCATTTATTTATATAGCCGCACCAACAAGGTCACACTTAAGAAGGAAAACGATATGATACGATGATACGAACTATACGAGTGGCATAAGGGGCCGTTCAAGTATTACGTAAGCAGAATTACTTCACTTTATCCCCCTTCTTCTTGTCAGCAAAAGTAAGCAAAGCTATCAAAAATAAAATAAAAACTGTGTGTGTGTCAGCTACGACGCACGATTGGAGTTTACTCCTTACGAACGATAATTATGATAAATATCGAATAGAAAAAAAGGGTAAATGAACGCATCTGCTAAAATGATAAGAGAAACAAACATATATCTGTAATTATTCGGATTATTTATATTACTTCAATAAAGCGTATTACATAAAGTATGTTACAAAACAATATAAATAATAATAATATTAGTACATAAAATTTCTGTGACCAAAGTTACGTTTATAGTAAGAGAAGAATAAGAATGAACAATCTTTTTAGTTTTAATTTCACTGACCATTACTATTGACAAAACTCTATGGCACGCTAGACAATCTACTTTTATTTTTTACACCTCAGTCTGTGTAATGTATTCCATCTCATTCTTTTACACGTTCAATCCTACAGATATATATGTTTGTCTCTTTCTACATAACGCCTCAACTTTTCGTGTTACACTTGATTTTACTCCTCATAAAATTTCCGTACCGGGCCTTATAACTCAAATCGTTTCTTAAGGAGTAAACTCCAATAGTACATTAACGTATTAATTTTTTGTAGGAATCCTCGAAAATGCATTTCATTTTTAAGGAAACAAATATTTAATAGCATTTGATCTGCTTTTCCAATTCTATGGATAACAATATACCTACTAATATATATACGTATTATTTACACTTATAACATATAAAACAAGAACTAATCTTAAAATATGATAACTAAAATATATTATTAAAAGGAGTCCCTTTAGGCAAGGACCCGAAGATACTGGCAGCGTTCCCTCTTTGAATAGCTAATACAATTAATACAACAAATAATATATTATTTTAATAATTAATTAAGACAAGAGGTTGAGTCTAGCTTATTGCTACTCAGTTTTAACAGCATCCAGCTGATATAGTCATAATAAAATAAGTTTATTTTCTCGTATTGTTGGGCACGTTTATAATTGATGCGACGAGGTGCCCAAAGTACAAAGACGTATTGACAGTTACTTCCCGTGAGGCAAGACAGAAAATGAGTGGCTATTCTCATCAATCACTCGATGATATATTGGTAGGGGAGCCCAAGAGGGGATTTCGGGATTTACTAAAGCGCGGCAGATTAATATATAGGGGGATACCTTGTACCCGGTTAAGTACCTCCACAAAATATGAGGCCCATATATAAGGCCGCCCGTGAAGGAGACAGGATCAGATTAGTAAAAAAAAATTGACCATCAGAAATTCCCGAGCGCGTCAGATTAAGGTAGGGTGAGTTAATTACATCCTAAAAAGTGTATATTCCACTAATCTGACAATTTGAAAGTGACGTAAAAAAAGGGGAGGGCAACAAAGTTGTAAAAAAAAACGTCATCTCGACATTCTCGAGCGTAGCTAATTTTTTTTTTATTTTGAAGGAAATAATTCAAGAATAATGAAAAATATATAATCTGACGATTTCCGCAAGCCGAAATAACAAAAATTCGTCGATAAAGTTAAATGCGTGCAGCTGCGTGATGCCTACATTTTCTTAAACCGATCGGAATCTACTAAACGGCGTTCTAAATATTTCCCTCAAAATTACATTTCCTGTGAATTTGAACCGATTCGGACCGATAGATTTTGAGACATTTTGAAAAATCTTTAAAAAATAAGAAATTTTTTTTTTAAAGTGGTTTCTTTATCGATCAACTTCAAAAACTAATCCGCCTTTGAGCTTGAAAAACCACGTCGATCGCCACCAAGCTGGTCAAAAGCGGTTGATTCGTTCGAGAGATATCGTGAACGAAAGAAACCCGAAAAAGTGTTTTTTCGGGATTACTCCGAAATTTGTGGTTCGATCAATTAAAATTGCAAAATTACATATGAGCATGATAAAACTGCGTCGAATTCCGCGAACCGCGTGAAAATTGCTTGATCCATTCAAAAGTTATTGTGGTTTGAAAATTCCAAAAATAGTGTTCTATGAAACTTCTATCAGACTTTCGAGCTGGGAGAGCTCAAATGCATAGAAATATTATTTCTTTGAACTCAGCGAGCTCAAAATATCAATTTTAAGCGCCCAGGAATGGAATTAGCGGGAAGTTGCAGGGATGGCCCTTTAGGTGAACCGTTTTTCTAAATTTTTTTTGTCAGATCAGGCGAATCCCTCTAGATAATCGTCAGATTATAAGACAGTACGTTTAGAACATAAAGATGAACCACATATATCTTAATCTGACGCGCTTGAGTATTTCAAAATTGCGATTTTTTTTGCAAATTATGAAAATGGCCGTGGGTTTGCGTCCCATCGAAATCGTCAGATTAGTGAATGCGAGCTTTTTTTTGGTGCACTTAACACTCCCTTAGAAAATCTGACGCGCTCGATAATTTTTTTTTTTTTTTCATTTTCAACCCTTAAATACAACCACCCGCATCATGTAAACGATCAGATTAACATACGTACATTATTAAAAATACGTAGGGCATTGATGCTATCAATATCTGACGCGCTCGAGGATGTCCATGCAACAGTTTTTTTTTACATATTTAATAATCAATAGCCGCTTCCCCCACCGATGAAAAGGTATATATCATATAACATTTTTTTCTTATTATCTAAGCTTTGCATCCCAATAGGTCTCTACGACGCTCGAGTAAATCCCCATTTAGCATCGTGGGCTCCCCTACCATATCAAACGTAACAAAAATATAAATGTGTGTTATATATTATATTAAATTTCTTAATTTGTTGGAGGACTTTCTTAATTATTTTAATGACACAAATAATATATCAGTTTGTCGTCATAAGATACCAATATAAAAAATAACAATAGGTTATCGACTCCATGTTCAACTAACAGTAGTACTAAATGTTTCGATTAACTTATTTTACTTTAATGAAAACTTAAAAGTTCAACGTAAAACAGGACCGATAAACGCGCACAGTTGTTTGTGTAAATACAGATACGAATCTCGTTTATTTACACACCCACAGGATTTGCAAGGAAATATAAAACTATTTTTTATATTATAATTATAACAACAATGTGAAAACTTTTTCAAACTACTAAAACAATTATACTTTTTTATCTACATTGATATTTACGAATATTTCCGTGCCTCTATCTACCATGAATAACAAGAAAACAAACTAAGAGTATGTCAGAATAGTATCGAAAGGAGTGTTCTAGGTCTTAAATTGAAAAATAGAGTAAAACTAGAAGAATCTTTTACTACTGTTACCTTTAGTAAAAGATTGAAATGGAAATGAACAGGGCACATTATGAGAGAATATAAAGATAAATGGACGAAGAAAGTGACGGAATGGCTTCCTCATTATGACAAAAGAAAACGAGGCAGACAAATAAAAAAATGGGAAGATGATGTGCGAAGAGTAGCTGGCCTTATGTGGCTACGTAAAGCTAGGAACAGAGAAGAGTGCAAGTCCTCAGAGGAGGCCTATGTCCAAGGACAAGCTGTATAACAGAAATCAACCGGCGTGCCGATTAATTATTAGTATTTATTTTTATTTTGAGTGTTAATTTTTTAGTATTTATCATTTTTATGTATAAGTAATTACAGCAATTACGGCTTTTATTATTATTATCTGCCATACCCCTTTTATGGTTGGCACAAAAAATTTAAGAAAATAAGATTGATTTACATAAATGTCAAACGATAAACAAAGGAAGAAATATCAAAAGAAAATCTATAATTTTACATAAAATTAAGCTCACAATAAGAGGTTAAATAATTCGTTGATATAATTTTCAGCTGTTGCTTTGTCTGGTTCTTCAAAACGCGAATTTCAACCAATCATTGAATAAACTAGAATCCAATGATACCCTTGAGAGGTAATTGGGATAAGAATCCGATATCACTAGAAAAATAACAAGATATTGCTGAATTTATGTTCGGATTTCTACGTCTTTACGAAGACAAATATGATTGTTATATTAGGTAATTTTAATATTATCTGTTATTTTTTTAACGAACTGTGTTGTTTTTGTAAATTACTGTGGTAGCTTAATGTCAAAGAATCGGGATCAATTTTTTTTTTCAATTAGAATCTATGTAAACTATGTAACTGATTCATGTGCATTTTTTATTATTAGACCGTATTAATTTTTTTTTTCATGTGTCCTTTTATACTTTGTTTTTTATTCCTGTTTAGTTTCTTTTTCTTAACAACTATATGTAACACATGTATTTTTGCACTTCGTGCCTACCTTATGTAATTTAATACTTTTTTTTTTCTTCTCTCACAGTGGTTGCCTGGATGAGATCGCTCGAAAGCGATAAGACCGCCAGTTGCTCTCCTTTTTATTTAATTATGTCAATTGTACTATATTTATGTATATGCAACGAAGTGTTAATAAATAAAAAATAAATAAACATTACTTAAGCCTTTATTTACAAGGAATTTGAAAACGTCCTGGCGAATGAGAATGTAATTCAAAAGATGAAGCGATTGTACGCTCCGTTCGAATGTGATTGGTTTGATGATTATGTATTTGACCCTACTCCTTGGGATTGATTTGCTCCAGTTCATATAATTTGTATGACTCTTTACGCTCTACGCCCTTGACTTTTGAACTAGTAGTAAATGAAAATTTAGAATCAATTTAACATCTTTTTTGTTCGTAAGTGTACTTCGTTACCTATATGAATAAAGTTATTTTGAATTTGAGTTTGAGTCAAATACGCGTTGACACGCGATATAAAGCGTTATTACGTCCGTTTGACCAATCACAATCGAATGCAACGTTTTGCCCTAAATCTTTCTTTTACATTATTATCCTCGACATCTGCGAAGAACAGTTTAGAATATATTCACTTTTACCTTGTTTAGAAGTAGAGTAGAGAACATAATACATTGAGTACGTTTGTTTAGGATGAGCAAAGAGCTAGACTCAAACATGTGTACTTGTGCTTTATATTTTACAAAGATTTATTAAATAATCAGTGGCGCTACAAACTCTTCTCAGATTTCTGAATCTGTCTCATGATCATTTTTAAATCTAATAGGCAAGTAGCCTTCCAGTGCCTGACAGACGCCGTCGACTTTTTGGGTCTAAGACATATCGGTTTCCTCACGATGTTTTCCTTCACCGTTCGAGCAAATGTTAAATGCGCACATAGAAAAAAAATCCATTGGTGTACAGCCGGGGATCGAACCTACGACCTCAGGTATGAGAGTCGCACGCTGAAGCCACTAGGCCAACACTCGCTTAGAAGAAAGATTTATTAAATCGGATGATATTACGAAATTGGCGCCATGATTTTCAAGATTTATACAATGAATTACTATCTAGTATCTACCTATTTATAATAAATACATAAATGATACCAAAGATCACTTTAAATAATTACGTTAACGAGTAAAAACCTGATCGGGATCTGCTGCCAGACTGGGACATGCAGTCTGGCGGTGAATCTGGCAATGTTCGTTTTCGTCGGAAGCAACTGTCACGCCATCTACAAAGGATCGCCGTCCGAAAGTACGCCCGGAATCTGTTGAGAGGTCAAAGGTTGGGCTAAAATTTATGGATTAGGTTTAAAAGCCTAAGATTTCGAGTTGTTTGTCTTTCATTTATATGTACAATAAACTCTAAGTTTCCACTAAAATCACAAAACAAGTACATAGTGAACTCGTGCTGGAAATAAATAGGGATTTATTTCGCCTCAGTATAAATCTAAACATTTAAATAAAAAAATTTGACGCGAAATTATTCCAGTATATTAATATTATAATTCTAAAATCTTTTCTAAATTTAGTGAATCTAAAAATACTGAGAATTTCTTTTAAAAGCTCTCGTTTAAGACGTATTTAGTTCACATATTTTTATTTGTAGTGTACATTGTTATAGTGCTTCTTAGAAATGTTATTAAATATTTATATCATTTATATAATACTAGCTGGTGTCCGCGATTTCGACTGCGCAGAATTAAAATAATATTTGTCCAAATGCTGTAGCGTGAAAGACATATTTTATCTACTTTAAATACCAGAAGCGTTAAAAGTGCATTTGTAATAAACTATCAATTTTTATTGTAGTTATGGTTCACTATTTTGGCTATAATGGCTTACACATAAGACATAGATATGTACTGTGGCGGGCTTTTTTGTAGGACTATTTAAGATAAACATTTCCACCATATATTACATATGTGTAACTCTAGCAGTTATGGCAGCGCCAGAATAGCTCGCAGATGGTAGATGTTTTCCTACTTACTTGATATACTAATTCACACAAAATCTTTATAAATATGTGTTATTCAGATGTATAAGCAATATTATTTTAAAGTTTCAATAAAAACCATTCAATAGTTTATACGTGAAACAGTAACAAACACCCATTCATACTTAGAAACTTTCGCGTCTATAATATTAGTAGGGTTTACAGAATGTACTAAAGAAGTATTGTTTAAGAAGTTAACTTAATGTTCTTGTAAGATTTCAACAAATAATACTGGGTAGTATTACTTGTATTGGTTGGTGGCTGTGTGTTTTTCGGTGAGTTTCCACCAACATACTTATACCAAAACAAGTAACAATCAGTTTAGCATTTAATCTATAATAAAAAGATAGAAATATGATAGTTATTTATGGTAGTTCTATGATAGAACTCTTCGTTTAACATCACGAAGTTAAAATACTTACTTAGCGTTCATCCAATAGTAAATTATCGGGTTGACCATCGCATTCGCCATTGCCAGCCAATAGAAACCAAGATATACATGTTGTATATACTTCATGTATAACACAGATGGGTAGAAGTGTGTGAAAATAAAGTAACTGTGATACGGTAACCAGCATAGGCCGAAAATCACTATGACTAAGATGAACATCTTCACAACCTGCAAAAAATACGATATGGTATTATATCAACGCGTGAATCGTTAAAAATCATTTTTTCCCTGCAAAGGAACTAACATTTTACGGACCCTAACTATTTATGTCTCTTTAGTCAAGGATAAGAATATTCTTGACTTAATGATATAATTATAGCCTCTTTTCGGACATGACAGTATTTTCTTTATTTTTCGTAGATTGTTCTTTTGTTCCACTTTTGCGTGTTCGTTTGCCAGGTGGCAAAGGCCTCCTCCAATCTTCTCCATTCTGGCCTTTCTATGGCCACTCTACCCCATGTTGTACCCGCGACTTGTCTAATGTCGTCGTCCCACCTTTTTTGTGGTCTACCTCTCTTTCTCTTTCCATCTCTTGGGTACCATTGTGTGATTATTTTACTTCATTTATCCTTTCCCCTGATCATGTGGCCTGCCCATTTCCACTTTTGTCTTCTTATTTTAAATTTATGTCCTCTGATGTTGCTACTCCCTACTTTGTCTTTTCTTTTGATCCCAGTCATGCTCCTTTCCATGGCATGTTGACATACGGAGAGTTTATTTGTTACGTTTTTTGTTAAAGCCCATGTTGACTTGGACTGTATTAAAACAAATTTAATAAATAAAAATAACATTTAAACCAAATTAGAAACTTCCTTTGGATTCTTTGTAATCAATTTTAAAGGTTCGTTAGTGCTTTGTGTTCGTATAGTTTAGCAGTCTTTAACATACTATTTTATATTTTAAACGGCACAAATATAAGAGTCTTTCCTCCAACTCCGATTTTGTTCCCTTTGGAGTAGAGAATCTTGGGCCGTGGGGTTCACAGTACACAGGCGCCTATGAAAGATTTAATTTGGCGTCTAGTAGATAGTACCGGTGACCCCAAAGCTGGTACTTTCCTGGCTCAACGAATAAGTAACGCAATACAGCGAGGAAATGCTGGCAGCGTTAAAGGCACACAGGGACCAAACTTTTTAAATTTGTTTTGATTTTCTTTTTAATAATTTCTATTATTACTTTGTAGGTTAAGAAAATTATAAATACTGTATACTTGATTGTAAATATAAAAGAAATTACACACAGTACAACGAAAAAGAAATACTATTGAAACTTTGAAATGTGCTAGACGTTTACATTGATTATGGAATCTACAAGGGTCTGCGTCACGTGGGAAATCATAGTGTTCTTAGTTAAACCGTTTATAAAATTGATTCAGTTAGAACTAAATCCATCCACATATAAATTGATGAACGCAGTGTTTACAATGTAGTAACGATTTGTACCTGTGAGGTAGTGGGTTCGGATTCGGGTGTGAATTATTAGTTTTTTATGATCGCAACACTTGCTTGTATGGTATCACAATAATAATGATTCAATAGCGTAGAATCAAATCAGCTTTCTAAAGAAGTGTGAAGACCAGTGTCGGCCTGGCACGACCAACACTTAACGGCTGTGTGCATTTATAACATACGGTCATATGGCGAAGGAAAAATATTGTGAGAAATTCAGCATGCTTTTGATCCAAAAACAGATGGCCGACACAGACGGCTGATCATCTTCATGCCTATTAAGAAAATCAGATATAAAAATCAGAGGCTAAGACCAAGGTTGCAGTGTTATTGTAAGATATCAAGTAGTATCTTTACTGTTACATTTACAGTTTTTAACATCAAACGTGTAGAAATAAATAATATACTAGCTAAATAATAAAAATACATATTTACAAATGCATAACATTAATGCTAATACATTGATAAAGTTCACACAGTTTTAATAGAATATATGTACCTTTCGTTTCGAACGAATGGAATCCAATTGTCTTTGAGTCAGTTCCCCTATAGACCGTGATCCCCAAAGTACTCTGCCCATCGCTGAATAGAAAAATGTCATACCCATCATTGGAACAGCGTATGTTACTATAAAAAACAACACTTGATACCTGTAACAAAATCAATTATTATTCATTTTTTTTAAGACAATTCACACCAATTGACCTAATCCCATGCTAAGCTGGTGAAGCTTGTATTATGGGTACTAGGCCACGGATATACATACATATTATAGATAGATACACATATAAATACATTTTAAATACCCAAGACCTAAGCACAACACCAAATGCTCATCACATCGATGTTCGTCTCAGCCGGGGATCGAACCCGGGACCCATGGATTAGCAGTCAGGGGTACTAACCACTAGACGTCAATAGCTGAAGTGATTACTTAGTAATACTTCAGTTATTGACAAATAAACCAGGGTAAATAATTTTTGAAATCAAAAAAATTACAGTAGGATGAAAAGCATTGGATAAGGAGGAATAAGTCATTTTTATTCAGCGTTTTTGCATTTTCTGAGAAGATTTACAATAGTAATCAATTTTTTTTTACCATCGGAGTCGTGATATCATATAAAAAGGTAACTTTTCACCAAATTTCGTGGAAAAAAATTTGTTTTTCTAAATGATAAAAATAAAAAACCAAAAACTTGGTTTTATGAATAATTTTTCACATAAATTTTGAGGTTATGTGAAAAAAGTGTAAACACAAAAGTTTTAGATCTTTTACCTACAACTTTGTTATTTACTTTTTTCCATAGGACTTTTAGTTTTGCTGGAAATCGAGATAAACCGTTTTTTACCCTTAAAAATTCACCCCCTTCCCCTTCCCGACCTCAGATCGCCCGCCATCATCATTTTAATAATATGGAGAATATTCCTTTTCCAATGAGTTTCATTCTACTATAATTTTTTTTCACTTTTTATTATTTTAGGCTTCTTTCTACCCTGGTCTAAAAGTCTTTGTAATATCCAATTTGATATAGTGATCCCAATTTTGTTTGAGTTTTTAATCGTTCCATCAATATCCGTATCGCTAATATTGTTACCTTGGCGTCATTCGGTAAACTCATTATTTGTATCTGGATCGCTATTGAGGGTTACAAAGCACAGGTAGTGCTGGGTTTTAGTATCGGATAGAAACGGTAACAATGTGAGATATGGTGAGTTCCCACACATCTAAGATGAAGTTGATACTAATATGTGCAGTTAATTTTAGTAGCAACTGTTGTTAGGTATTATTTTATGTAACGCATATGGTGGACATAAAAATGTATAAAAGCAATTAACTTATGTACAAGACATACATTACAAGTTATATTTATTTATTTTATTTATTTACACTTGGTTGCATTACAATATAAATATTTAACATAATTAAATGTAAAGGAGGGCAACTGGCGGCCTTATCTCTTTCGAGCAATCTCTTCCAGGCTACCACCGTGAGAAAAAAAATGATAGATAAGGTAAGCAAGAAGTGCAAAAATACATATTACATAATATACTTGTTAAGAAAGAAAAATAAACTAAGCAGGAACAAAAAACAAACTAAACTAATAAATAAAGGATACATGAAAAATAAAAAGTAAAAAGTGCACACGAATCACAATAATGTAATTTAAGATCAGTCTCACGTCAGTTAGTAGTTAGTACGAAAGTTAGGGATACGATGTGGACAGGTAATGTTTGTACAGAAGAAATTTAAAGGAAGATAGAGAAGGAGCTAAGCGAATAGGGACAGGAAGTGAATTCCATAGCCTAACTGCAGAGACCTTAAAGGACTCGTCAAGAAAGGAGAAGTTATGAGATGGGATTTCAAGGATATAGTTATAATAAAAATTCAATCAAATAATGTAAAAATGAACTTTGTGAGTGGAAATTTATGACACGGATGTCAAATCATAAAACAGGGCTAGATAAAGTTATTGATTACTACTGAAAACTTTTTATTCCCGATTTATACTCGAATAATTAGAAAATAAAATTTAGCATTGTCATACCGTTTAATATTCGGAAGAAAATCATAATGTGAATGTTTCAATTTATTCATTTTATTTTAATATTTGGTGCACGCACGACTCATATACCAAATAGGTAGTTAGAAATATATCAGAATGTATAATTGAATAAGTAATTAGTAAAGAAAAATCTGTTTAACCGGATTGAAGTTATGTATTATTATAAATTTACTACTATTTAACATAATTTTAAATTTATCCGACGTTTCGCGTGCTTTACAGCGTGCGTGGTCACCGTGACCACGCACTAAACACACACGCTGTAAATAATACATAACTTCAATCCGGTTAAACTGTTTTTTCTTTAAATGTGTAAAGGTTATGTAAATCAAAGACAATACTAAGTAATTAGTAGTAGGTAATTACTTACTGTTTACACATACATGCATTGTTTTGCTTTTTTTTTACTTTTGACAACAATAAAGATTGGTTTATACTTTTTTCCATTAAAAATTAAAAAAAATACGTAAATTTGTCAATCGTTTAAATCCTTAAACAATTAAACTAATTAGTAGTAGTCCTTTAAGAAAAGAGCGTACCATTTCTTAAAAGGCCTTGCGAGCCTTCTGGCAATGTAAGTGTAACTTAACATCAGGTAACCCTTATGCCCATTTTCCCCTATTATACGTAAAAAAAACTCACATAAAATCCATATATGATACATCGGGTAATCCATCTGGCCATGAGAGAAGACACGCTGTTCTCAGCGTTCCCTTGGACCTGTTCAAAAAAATTATTTTGTGAAACATCATCATACAAAATATTCCGATAGAGCAGTATTACAGGTTAAGACGGCTGACATTAGTAGAATCGTGCCTGTGCAATAAAGAATCTTTTCTTCGTAAAGATAAGCAGTTAAATTATATTTAAAAAAAACATAACTTGATTTATAACGAAAATGATCCATGAAACGTATGGAAAACTTGTGTTGTTTAAATAAAAATCGATTTGGTTATCAGACCTTCTAATTTGCTAATAATATTATTACCGTACACCAAGAAAGGTTAAACTTTTTACTTAGACTACGACTTTAGACGGGCATATTTCTCTATTTCAAGCTTTTTGTTAAGAAACAATGGAAAGTCGAAAACAGCTAAAGGCGATCCAGGAAAGGCGACTTTCGCATCTGTAATGTGAATCGTAGTTAGAATGTTGAATAAGTAATGTTTTTAATAGATTAAAAGCATGAGTTTTTTTAAATACTTGGTGCTGGAAGTAATTGTAAGGCCTACAACGCACTAGCGGCTGGCCGCTGCGGCAGGCCGCGGTATATACGGTCTGCCGTAGCGGCATGGCGTATTCCGGCTAACCGTCCCTATTGCGGTCTGCCGCAATCGTCACTCGTCAGTGCTTCTTGAAATATTGCGCATGATGGACGTTGAAGAAGTTGCGGCAGTTATTTATTTATACAATCGTAGAAAATATCGTCAAAAAATCTCTGCGTAATGTCTAGCGCAAGGAACAAGCGATGACTGAGGCGGGTAGGACGTGGTATTTGCGGCTAACCGCGCCGAGTGCGTGGAGGGGATGCGGCGCGCTGCATCATTCAACCGGTGCGGCTCGCCGCAGCTCTAGATCAACCGGTTACCGGAACGGTTGACGGTTGACCGCAAGTCAGTGCGTCGTTATCGTGCGGTTTCATGTAATAATCGATGTGCGGCCTGCCGCAGCGGCACACCGCATTGCGGCCAGCCGCTAGTGCGTTGTAGGTCTAAGATTTACTTATTTCTTGCGTACGAGCAATATGTAAAGTCATAGCTATAATTAGAAACTATTTGGAATTGAAAATTATTTTTGTGTTACAGTCTATTTAAATTAAACATCACGGGTCGGTAGAACTGCGAAATGATGCATTTTTTTCGCGATTCGCGGGAACAGCAGTTATATGAAGCCAAAACTATATTCAATTCAAACATTTGACATTCGTAAGTAATGGCATTTTTTATTTAATTTACAACATAATTTTATTAATAACATACAAAGAAACAAATGTGTTTCTTATTGTACAAAAATAATCATATTAAGATTAATTAAATATTTTAATACTGTGAACTGTTTGCTTCAAAATAAAATAAAAAAAGGCAAAGTTAAATAAGCAATATTGCTTATTTTTAGTTTGCAATTATTTTATAGTATTGTATACTACTGTACTTGTAATACTTAATATTACAAGAACAGTAGTATTATTAGCAGTATTAATAAAACCATATTATAATAAAATTTGGTTTAACATGTATTCATTATCTTGATACATTACAACTTTGAGATCACAAATAATAAAATAGGAAGGGAACAAATAAATATTCGTTATACCAAGTAATTGGTTGAACTGAGGTTTGTTATTTTGAGGTTAGGTTGGTCTAAAATTATTTATAAAGAGGTAAAAAATTTTACATCAAACTACAATTATTATACGAACAAAAGCGTGTCAAAAATTCATTAATTAGAGGTATTTATACTTTTCTCGATAATTGAAAGTTCGTTAAAAGAGGTTGTTTGCAAAAAATGTTCGTAATGTAATTAGGGATTACGAAGAATTTGTTAAATCAAGGAAGTCTTTATATTGAGGCACTTTATGTTAAGGTATCTATATCTGTATCAGGTTACTTAATATGAATTGAATAAATAACATTTCGTACGCAATTATTCCCCGAGAAAATTATCATACTCATTTTTCAAAAAAGATTGGAATATTGAATGAAATATTCATATTATCAATGGCATTTTCCATTCTGAGCGTATAAATAATATTTGAGAATACTTCTTGACATAACCTTGTTGTCTATTTTAAGCATTAACGAGCTGAATACAAATTTTTACTAGGGATGCTTTATATAGGATCAATTTGTGTATGTATTGTGATTGTGTATGTATATTAATTATATATATATTAATAAATATAAGATTTTTGAAGTGACACTTCATTCGGCGCATGAGGGTAATTTTTTTACGGATGAAACGTCACGAAGATGTGCAGCGTTTATGTCGAAGGAAAGGGAGAGAGCGATTGAGACCGATTGCTAGAGGCAAAAGGGCAAATTACCTTATAGAAATTTTATTTTTAAAATTAAAGTTTCGTAAAGAGAATTTAAGAAATATTAGTATTTTATACTTTATGCAAAATAATTTATTCAAATCTCAAATGACAAATTGTGAATTAAAATGCCATGTGTTATTATTATCGAAAAATAAATTTATAATTTGTATTAATTTTCCACACTTTTAATATTTTAATGACAACTAAAATCATTAAATTCCTAACATATCTTCCTTTTTTCCTCCTTCGAAATCTAAAGTTTTAGATTTATATAAATATGAACAAGACTTAAGAATAAGTTTGCCAAAGAAGTTTCACTTCTGACTTTTGTGTACTTTGTACGCACGAACTTCTTTTTGCTTATGATTCAAACGAAGCTACCTGTACACTTATAATAACAATATTTGGAAAGCGTGAATGCATATGTATTTTTCACTCTAACAGCATCTGCATAAACACGTTTTCTCTCCGTTGAAGCGGCACGTAGCTTGATATAATTGACGAAGCATCATACTCGTAGTTGCTACGCCGTAGATTGGGTTACGCCAATAGAGATGCGTGCCAGTACAAGTTTCCTATGAATTTATGATTGAACAAACACATAGACAGTACGACATACTTTTCTTGGACGGTAAGAGCGTCGCTGTCATGGATATTAGTATTGCCAGTAAATAAAAATTTACCGTTATAAGGGGAATAATTTGAAGTCGTAACTAACTTATTAATTTATTGAAATGTCTTAATAAAACAATATAATATACTAGTATCTAGAAAATACAGTTCTTGGCTTAAATAAATGTGACGCAAACTTATAAAAAACTGATATGATAGGTTTTGTTACCTGTTCTATTAATATAATATATTTTAAGATACCTAGCAAATCAGATCCGTTCGATAATTAAAACTTTGACATTGTAATTAATAATGTAAGGAATAAAAAAAAACATTTTAGTTAAATTTTTATTAGATGTTGGTAGATAGTAAAAATATTTATTGTACGCACCAATGAATTTGACAATGTCAGTATATATAAAAATGAATCCCTATTTCCGTTGGTCACGGCATCACGCGTGAACGGCTGGACGAATTTTGCTAATTATTGTTTTGTTGTGTTTGTTATTGTCAGGAGAAGGTTCTTATGAAAGAAAAAATAGGAAAATTGCTCGGAAAATTAGAAAATTTAAGAATACTTAACCACCATACAATTCAAACTTTGTGGATGTAACCTTATGGCGTTTGACATAACATTGACAGAATGCGTGCTGCAAATATCGTCGAAAATTATTTTGATAAAATAAATATAAAATAATAATCAATAAATTTACTTACAAAAAGTAAAATATGTAATAGACTACACTTATAAATAGATCAGCACACTACATCTAAAAACTTTTAGAAAGGGAGACAAGAAGAAACTGTATGAGCTAATATTATGTAGGTATATATACGAATATATATCTTTATCTTAATATATATATTTATTCTGTGCGTGTGTATGTGACTGAACTCCTCTTAAACGGCTGGACCGATTTGAATGAAATTTTTTGTGTGTGTTCAAGGGGATCTGGGAATGGTTTAGATTCACAAATCAGCGCGGCAGATGGCACTGCAGTCGGTACTTTCATACTTTGCTTAATATCCTAATCGCTTTAAATATCATGCAGGACAACGTCTGTTGGGTCCACTAGTATATATATAATTCTGCTGAACGTGTGTATGTCACTTAATTCCTGTTAAACGGCTGGACCGATTTGAATGATTTGTATGCGTTTTGGTGACGTCCTGGATGGTTGAGATTCATAAATCAGCCCGGCTGCATACTTTGTTTAATTTCCTAATCGCTTGAAATATCATGCAGGACAACGGGGCCTGTCGGGGCCGCTAGTGTTTTATAAATGACAATGTCTCTTTATTTTTTACTTTAAAAACAAATTTTGCTGTCGATTTTTATACTGACTGTTCTAATCTTCGTAAGTAGATAAAAAATAAGACGTTACCTGTATTCCTTTGTAGTAGAATATAGCAAACAGGGTATTGCCAATAACATTCCGCTAACCCAAATTCCAGCAATCATGATGAGGGAGCAGCTTTTTGACATTCTAGGTCTCATTGGTCGTACAATTGCTTGGTACCTATTGAATCATAGAAATTATTTTAAACTGAAATCAATAATATCTGATTTCAAAGTTCGAAAAACAAATATTCAGTTGCAAAGAATTTTGTAATGTGGAATTGTAAAAAAATTCTGTTACTGATATTTCTATACATCTGATAGCAACAGCAGTATTAGGGTTAGTGGTTTCTCTTACTGTGGTCGCGCGTTCAAATCCCAGCTGTGCATCAAGGCCAATTAACACTCGTTCGTAAGGCGAACATTGTAAGAAAACAGGGATGGCTTAGACCCAAAAAACGCTACGTGTCAGGCACAAAAGGCTGATTATCAACTTGACAGATGATTGATGCAATCCGAGCCTTAGTCCCTTATAGAGTTGTAGAATCAATGAAATATAATATCTACGAATGAATTTGAATTAAGTATTTAAAAAGCTAAAAATAACTGTTTCTAGATTAAACACAGCTGCATAGTTAAAACTAATAACAACTTCTAACTGAATTTTAAAATATTTATGGTTGTGAAGTGATTTTATAAAATGGAATACTTAGGCAAAGAGCAATGATACAAGATATACAAAGGATATGATTGTTTAATACGCAAATAGAATTATTAAATGCTTGTTTGAAGACAGATAGCATCCGACGGCTATCAAGCAAACATTTGCTAGACAACAAAATTTAGAATAGTTATATAAGTTACTTTAGTATAAATTCTTATACAAAACAAACAGAAAACTTATCAAATCGGATAACCTATTAGACCTACTTAAGCGTTTAATATAAACTTGGAATTGAGCTTCTTAAATAAAATCTAAAAAGTATCCAAATCGAGTGTGACTTAAAATAGAATTAATTATTAACATCTGCAATCGATTGCAAATATTTCATTATTTTTAGTATGTAATTCATCTATTTCACGGCATGTATATACTGTAAGATATCGTAATATTCACATAACGCGACGGCGAATTGTAGTTACAAGTTTGTTTACAATGTGTGAACTATTTCTATGTACTAAAATTAATCATAATTGCATCTGAGTAAATCTCACTGTGAAAGCAAAAAACTCAAATTTAGTTAGGTCATGAAAGTTACAACCAACACCTATAATTATTCGTATCCTGTTTATACTAATTATCGGTAACGTAACTTTAATTTAACTGAAATATTTTTAAACGAGTACCCATAAAACATAGACAAAAAAGAAAAATAAAAGAAAAGGGAGTAAGAAAAAAACAAAATTCATTGCACCATGCATTGTTTATGAGTATCCGTCCAATTACAGGGACGTGACACGATCTGTGTCTTGGTTTCGTATTTATATAAATAATAGTACGAGATCCCGCTGCAGGATTGGTGTGCTCATCGACTTTTTGTTTAAAACCAAATTTTTATGTTTATTTATAATTAAGAAAATATATATTTACTAGGGTGCCTATCAAAATTGGGCCGCCATTATTTTTAATTAAATTATTTTTAATTGATTTTTGGTGCACAAATAAAATAACAATGTAAATATAAAACGTTGTTTATTACGAACTCCAAAACAGCGTGGTTTTTATGTTAGAATAAAAATGCTGCATCTGTTCAGTTGAGAACACTAACGTTCGACGCATGCGCAATGGCTTAAAAGCGTCGCACAGCCGACAATCGCTGTCCTCGTCTGACAAATGATGTTACGCGCTAACTCTCTTTCACTCTACCTTAAATATTTATTATCTTTAACAGCCAGTAACCCTTATTTACGGCCAGATTTAATTAAGCAACTTTATATGATAATTAATAGAAAAAAATTAGCTTCAATTTGACATATAATTAATAAAAATAGGTTATAAACGTATAAATTTATCGAAATCATACCTGTTTACACCTGGCTGCAAAGAGGTGCGGCCAGGTGCGCAACGGCAACCGTGATTTTTTAGAATCTTCATATTAATTACCGTTATTTTATTTAAAAAATAAATAAACGAAATTTTTTACCAAAAATCAATTAAAAATAATTTAATTAAAAATAATGGCGGCCCAATTTTGATAGGCACCCTAGTAAATATATATTTTCTTAATTATAAATAAACATAAAAATTTGGTTTTAAACAAAAAGTCGATGAGCACACCAATCCTGCAGCGGGATCTTAGACTATAAGTTATCTCACCTGTCGAAGGAAATGCCTGTCAGAGTAAACACACTTGCTGCGACTGTGACGTTCGCTATGAAATTGCTGAGCTTGCAATAGCGCACGCCGAATACCCAGTCACTATAAAACAACATTATCGTTTATGTATGATTAAACTTTGGTTATGTCTAGAAATTTGTAGAAAATGAGTTTTGGAACGGTTAAAATACAGCTAGGCAAATTGGTTTCCGCGGCAGCGACTCGAGGAGTCCATTTGTACGTCATAAGCGTCGTAACAAGATTACCAGCATGGGAAATAGTTTAATTTAAATAAAAACATTAAAATAACGCATTTTTTGGAGCGAGATACATAGATAGTTTAATTGAAATTCAAATCAATACTTATGACAAACGTATGTAAAAATTCACTTCATATTGTAATACACTAACTTCATATTTCACTTTCTTAATGTTCTAGTAAACAAGCCGATGATAATAATTAAAAAATATAGTACAAAAATGTTATGGTGGTAAAACTAATGTTCGCATATTCTGTCACACATAATGGCGAGCAAATTTTTCTTACATAAATAAAAGGTAGAATTTTACACAGTAGGTACATATTAAATTACATTATCAATCATATCATCATAGTCAATTCTTGTATTATTTTATCACTACACATTATTAAAATATATTATTAAATTATCAATATTAATAATAATGTTTCACTCTAGCAATCATTAATACAATTATAGTATATTGTTGTAAATAAATTAGTAAAAATGTACGAGTCGGTGAATGATTTTGGTCTCTGTAGCATCCTCCAATAATGTTGGCAAATAGCAACAATTTAGCTACAATTTGATACTGTTTGAGGATCATAATTCAAGTATTACGTGAAAAATTATATCTGTTTAATTACACAATAACAAACAATAACTGAGTACATAAAGTAAGAAGACTATATGTTTTGATATCACAAAATGCCGTTATAAATATCTGGGCTTTGTCTCGATAAATTTTATCATGAAAATTTTATTCTGATAGGCTAATACCTATATTTCCATTTTAATGGGATGTTTAGCAAAATAATTCAATATTTTATAAAATGAGTATTTTGTATTTAAGTTTCATGTAAGTGACTCGAAATTATTTTATTTATTCTATGCAAAAAAATATTTTATTATATACGTTATTTTAAGGAATATGTATTTAATATAAAATATTTTTTGACGGTGGTAAAATATGTGCCGTGAGTCTAGTATAGCGCACTCATCTCAACCTTCAGATTTGTTCATTCCGTTCTTGGTAGTGCAAATAGACTTTGAACTACGAAAGGAAATATCCAGTAATCCGAAAATATGTCACAATAACCACTCGTAGTGCAAAGGTAATAAGAGTTCACGTAAAAACTGTCATAAAGTCGACGAAATCGACGACAAAAGTTTGTAATAGAAGTTAATCTACCTTAGCTTACATAAGAAACCTAATACAAATTTATGAAAGAAATGCAGAATCCTGAGCCAAAATGGGCACTTGGTTGTCATGAAGCATTACTCCTTAGGTATGTTATGAATTTAAAATATCAAATGTTTATTTTTTTGAATTTAATTCTTGCCACAAAAGTACTAACTATATTTAGCAAAGCATTATCTGCTTAATTAGTTAAGTCACGAACTTCTCCAACACGTCGACATTAAATACATGTTAAATACACGAACTTTTGGTAACTTTGGTTTTTGAAGGCGGCTAAAATTACAAGTAATAATTATAAAGGAATTCAATGTTAGTATATTAAAATAATTAAGTGAGATAATTATCAAAATTAAAATACCTGTGAAGCATATAGATAAAGTTGAAGAGACAGTTGAGCAAGGACATCATCAGATCTGCGAAAGACAGGTTCACCAGGAAGTAATTGGTCACTGTTCGCATCCTTCGGTGAGCTGAAAACAAATTATAACATCATTTTTACACGAATATGAAATGAAAATACTTATGAATCCTTCGGACGATTATACAATTTTCATCAAAAGACTCCAATTTTTTCTCGTATATCTAACAATATTTACATACGTATATATACATATATAAGTTATAAGATCATATTAGGCTATTTTTGGAAGTCGGTGTCGAACTGTTTATACAGAAACGCGAGGATCACGTGGGAAAAATCAAGCAGACCATAGACCATAAACAGAAATGAGTAAAAAGCTCAAATTGTTTTAATGTGCAATATTATATTAATCCAAAGAGTACGCGTTCAGACTCAAAATAGATTTTTAATTTTGCACTTGTAGTATCAGCAGTTTGACTTCCATTATTGCTGGATAATATTTATTTTATAAGCAAGTCAGTGATCCGTCTTTTATATCTATCACACGTCCTACAAGTGTTAACATCACACATATTGGTGCAGTCACGGTTTGAACGCACATCCCCAGGATTAACAATCAAACGCTATATCCCCTAGACACACATGCAAAGTCAAGTGATTGTCAATTGTTATAAATTTTGCATATGTTTGTGGTATTGCTGTTGATGTATATTCTATCCTTGGTAATAAGTATCACGTAAACTTAATTGAAACGGATGCCACATTTTGTACACAGTTGATTAATCAAAGGGCAACAATAGAAATAACAGCAACATTAGTAGGTTTAATAAAGCCGCATTTGACTACAATTTCGCTAAAACACTATTTAATCTATGAGAGTATTGGAATAGCTGTGTAATGATTACATACATACTTTTATAGACCAAATTATACCGCTTGAACAGGATTGAATAGAGAAAATTGTGTCCTTTGTGTATGTGATTAATTGTGATTAAGAATTTATCAACAGAATTGTATAAATGAAATAATATCCTTTCGACGCGATTGCGAAACGATTTGACGTAGTCCAACTAGGTATCTTTGATGTATGTATGCAGAAATCGGAACAACACACAATATTTAAAGGCATGCTTTTATAGTACTTCACGAGTTCTTGGATAATAATTTTTGATATACCGGTTAGGATTATATCAACAAAATTTCAGAAATAATGAAAGTTTAATACTAGATGATGTAATTTTTGTAAGAATTACAGCAAACAGTATAAAACTAACGCCAGCGGAATTACGTCACAAAGTGTATAAGCTTTATTTTCACTTCTATCGTTTGTACCGTTTCACAGCTACGACAGCTGGCTATTTACGACATTAAGTTAATTAATCTAGTTGACACGCAGTACTTTATTGGCGTTTTAAACTAACGCAGAAAATGTTTGATGTTAATTTAACTAAAATAAAACAAATTAACAATAAAAAACGTCTACTACCCCACGGTTATTATATTACTATAGAATAATCTGAAGTCTCCGCCACAACTTAAATAAACAAAAGTGGTCGGCCAAAGGATTTTAGGATTATCCTACCAAAACTTTTAATTAATCGGTCAGAATAAACTTTAAAATATTATGCAAATTACAAAACAACAATATCATTTAAATTTAACATAATTCTTAACACAGCACCATCTCATACAACGTCAATCACCGTCCATCCCTATTTTCTATCAACTATCCTCCAATATAAATGTAACTTGAGTCTTAATAACGAACCATAGAAGACTCTTCTCTAATTTTTCTGTATAATTTTAAACTTTATCGTGAATCATAGGGCAAACGATCGGCCGCAATTTACCAGCGTTAAAATACGAAATATTCGGAAATACTCATGCATCTTGCATACCCACTGAACGGTGCTAGCAAAAAGTAACTTCAAAACGTTTTAATATAGAACAACAAATGGCGACGTACGGATGCAATTTCTCAGTTTAAGGACTGGAGAAGATCGAGAAAGAACATACAAATCTACAGTATACTATGGTGGCTATGCGACGAATGCGGTCATATATAAAAAATAGAGTCGAAAACCCCCCAAAAACGAGTACTCCATAACAATATGTTATATTTCATAACACCGTTTAACGCGTTGAAAGGCACAGTTTGAATAGCCATTGAAAGAAAACCTTCATCGTGGCAACTTCCAATGATTTGAATAGTTCAGTTTTGCATTTTCATTTCCATATAGACGATTTAGGAATTGTGATTTCCATATTCATTCCATTTAGGATTATCGAATAGACCATATTTTGAATGACTATTACACCATTGATTGTTTTTTAAATGTTGGCATTTCATTCAAAATTTCGATTAAGGAGATTGTGATCTTGGTAATAAATCAGCATTCCTAGCTATAATGTGGAGGAGATAAGAACAGAAGAGAGAAACACCCGATTTTAGGTTTTCAATTGTTTATTTTTTTTAAAGTATAACAATGGCAATTAAAATAATATCAAAATCACGTTTGTGTGCTTCAAACGAAACTTGAAATGCAATACCCGTTTTAAAGGCTTCGCTTACATTCGTAATTGAATGTAAAATGTACTGAAGCTACTCATAATATTAAAGTAATTAAAATAAATTAAACCAACTTCAAATTATTTACATATGTTATATTATCTGTTATCCAGAAATGCATGAATATCTATATATCAAAATTTACAGAACCGGTTTTAATGATAATTTTACTGTTCGCTAAGTTAGAATATGGCTCACTTAAGGTGTCTCGATAATTTTTAGTTTTCGAGATTTTGTGGACAAACATACACAACGAATTTCATTATAAAACAATTTTTACCGGATTGAAGTTATGTATTTACAATTATTTTTCATAATTTTAAATTTAACCGACGTTTCGCGTACTTTACAGCGTGCGTGGTCACGGTGACTGAAGACAAAAGGTGTTGAATGTCAAAAAGTATCACAGCTGTAGAAAAAGTTGTATTATCTGTATTTGTTTCCCCGGAGTTGGTATCGACTAAAAGATGGAGGGTTTTGGCAGAAATGGCTCACGGTGTCCTCTATTTTCGCGGATTGTTGTGTAATACACAACGAAATTTTGCAGACATGCTTGGAAGCCAAATAGATAACTATTAGCCAACCATATACTTCCGTACCCGTATACTATTACTACTTAAGAAAAACGTTTCATGCCTACCTGTTACTATCCATATAACGATAGCATTCCCGCCTATGGCTACAGCAAGCATGGCAGCAAATAAGCAGATCCAAGAATTATGGGCCCAGGGAGGCATTCCGTTCGTCGTTGATGGTACTGTGGTGGCTCGGGGTACAAGTATTGTGGCTGCACTCAACAGGCTGCGATTGAAATCCATTTCCCATGTGTACACCACCTTTAAACAATTATGATTTATATACACTAAGATATATTGGTTAAAGCATAAAAACTATACATATTTTTGGCGTCGGGACGTGACGACTTCATCGCCCACTGGTGAAATAACCTGTGACAGAGGTTATTTCATCAGCGCAATCAGTCAACCCCTTCCTAGTGGGAGTGCCATGCTGTTGCCTTCGGGCTTCAGCCTAATGGGCAGGCAGACCGGGGCAGTACCACTGTCTCTTAGAAATCCGGCGTGAAGTGAGGCAATAGGTTCGCCTTATTGTACTCGCGTTTCGTACGGTGAGGGAGACTCCGAGCCCATCCCCCATATGAAATATGAAGGTGCAGAACAAACAGAATCTACCCCAGGGGGTACCACACGCGCTCGCGGTGGAGAATCCCCTCTGGGGTCCAACACCGGGACACTAGCACCCGGTGGTGGACGAAGGCTGCCCTTCGTATTCTCGGGGGGCAATTCTGCGCTCAACAAAAACAGTCATCGTTCTCGGGGCAAACGGAGCAATTCAACAAAGGCACCCCCGTCCACGCTCGCCGTGGACTTCACAAATGTTAGGGGGCTCAATTCCAATATCAACGCAGTCCACTACCATTTAGAGACTGCGAAGCCGGCCTTGCTCTTTCTTACCGAGACTCAGATTTCCTCCCCGGCTGATACTTCCTACCTCTCCTACCCGGGGTACAAATTGGAACATTCATTTGTGCCGCGGGCGGGAGTTTGCGTGTACGTAGGGAGGATATTGTTCTCGTCGCCTCGGGACGCTTGAAGGAAGGGACCTATCTAACCTCTGGCTGCGGTAGACTGCGATGACCATCCGCGATTCTACGCATGCCTGTATAGGTCCCATAGCGGAAATACCGAAACTGACCGACTCATTGAGCACATCCAAATGGCTACAGATTCCCTGCTCGAAAGGGTTCCTACCGCTGAAATCGTGATACTTGGCGATTTTAACGCCCACCATGCCGATTGGCTCGGCTCTGAAACCACCGATCACGGGGAAGATCCTTTCACGACTTTGCTTTAGCCTACGACCTGACACAAATGGTCCCTGCGATTACGCGAATACCAGATGTGGATGGTCATAAACCCTCTTTGTTGGACCTTCTGCTGACTTCAATCCGGAGAACTATCAAGTCTCTGTTGACCCGCATTGGTTCATGGACATGTGGGTCGGAGTATGTGCATCTACGCGCCCTTACGGCCCCGCTTTATGGGTGTCGCCGTATTTGGCACTATAGTCAGAGATTGGGACGGGATGCGGTCTTTCTTTGCGTCCTACCCTTGGGGGCCTATGTGCTTTTCGCCGGAAGCTCCAGATTCCGTCGCCGCCTCTGTCCCGAAGTGGTTCTGCAGGGCATGGAACTCTTTATTCCATTTTCTGCGGTGCCGATCGTGAAGTCTCAGCCCTGGTTTAAACGTTCTTGCAAGGCGGCCTCACGTGAAAGCGAGAATGCTTTAAGGATGGGCGGAAGCGGCGAAATCTCGTGATGCCAATACCAGCGAACTTAAAACAGCATATAACTCAGCCTCCAGGTCCTTCAAACGGGGAAATCACTAAGGCAAAGTCAGAGCACATTGCCAGATTTGGCGAGAGATTGGCCCAGCTCCTTCAGGGACTCGAGCCTTCTGGTCTCTCGCCAAAGCTGTCCAAGGGAATTTTTGTCAGCCCGCCATTCCGCCACTGCACAGGAGGATGACTCTCTGGCCCACACTGCGAAGGAGAAGGCCGACCTTTTGGGCTGTCTCTTCGTCAACTCGACTTTGAGAGAGGAAGATCACCACCGACCATTTCGCGTGTGATTCTTCGATGCCGGAAATCATATTCCGGCAAGTGCTGTCCGCAAAGCACTATCTTCCTTGGACATTCATAAGTCGAGCGGCCGGATGGAATCCCCCAATTGTGCTGCGTACTTGTGCTCCTGAGTTGCTCGGTTTAAGCGCCTTTGGTACCTGTACTGCTCGGACTTCCCGAAGTGCTGAAGACCGCTTCGAACATCCGATCCCTAAAAGGATGCTCTGATCCGTCAACTATGCCCAATAGCTATAACCTCCTTGTTCTCCAAAATAATGGAAACCATTATTAATTGCCAGCTCTTGTGGTATCTAGAGGGCCACCAGTTGATTAGCGATTCTCAGTAGGTTTGTCGTGTGTCAGCTGGTGACCTCCTTGTATACCTTACCCATAGGTGGGCAGAGGCAATTGAGTCCAAGGGGAGGCGTGGGGTAAGTTGGACATAGGAAAGCCTTCGATCGGTTGAAGAGCACTGCTCTGAAGCTTCCAGCCTATGGGCTTCCGAGAAATTATGGATTGATTCAGTTTTGGCCGATCGGAGCATAAGTCGATGACGGAGCATGTTCCGACCTTAAACCTGTGAACGTTGGGGTCCCAAAGGCTGTGTTCTATCCCCGACCCTATTTTTCTGCAATCAATAAGTGCACTTAGCAAATTCATTGCTTGCGGATGACAGCACTGGGATACTTTTTACACTGGCCGGGCAGGTATTTCTCGGGCAGTTGTTGATGAGTACCGGAACAAACTTGTGTTTGAAGTGAGACTCTACTAGTGGAGTCTCAGACTGGGGCAGACAAAACCTAGTCCAATTTAACCCCAAGAAGACACAAGTTTGCGTTTTCCGCTAAAAACACCCTTTGTCGCTACTCCTCTTTTCGAAAACACTCTTCTTAAAGCACAGCCAGCATTGGAATACTTGGCGTTGACATATCGAACGACGTTCAGTTTCGCGGTCACTTGGAGGGAAAGGCTAAATTAGCCTCCAAAAGTTGGTGTCTCAGCAAGGGAGGCGGTACTTCACTCCGGGCCACCGCATGCAACTATATAAAGCGCAAATTCGGCCCCAATGGAGTACTGCTCTCACCTCTGGGCGGGGGCTCCCAGTACCAGCTCCTTCCACTTGACCGTATACAACGCAGAGCGGTTCGAATCGTCGACGACCAATCCCTCTCCGAGCGCTTGATCCTTTGGCGTTGCGTAGAGATTGGGGTCACTCTGCATCTTCTACCGCATTTACATGGAGAGTGTTAGAGGAGTTTTCGGATTAATACCTGAGCTGAGTTTCATCATCGGACGTCGAGACAGAATACGAAATTCCACCCGTATCACCTGACGTCCGCCGTTCCAAACTGAGCGTTTTTCAAGGCAGTTTTTGCCGCGCACCACCACTATGTGGAATAGCTGCCCACTGAAGTATTTCCGAACCAATTCGACTTAGGTCCTTCAAGAAAAGAGCGTACCAATTCTTAAAAGGCCGGCAACGCACTCGCGAGCCCTCTGATTGAGAGTGTCCATGGGCGGCGGTTCACTTAACATCAGGTGTGCCTCCTGCCGTTTGCCCCGTTCTAAAGCATAAAAACTATACATTATGAACTGGACTGTCTAGTTACAAATATTTCTCTTTCATTAAAGCATCATAATGAGCTCATAAGATGAAAGAAGATTTACATTGAAGGGATACGAGGAACATGGGTCATGGGTCAACAAGGTCCTTTGTCAAAGACTGACCAATTAGTCGCTGGTATGACTGAACTACATGAAGTACGCTTATTGCAGAATGGGTCATACTTAACTTCTACACAAAAAAACGTGTGGCACTCCGGGACTGCCGCGGTAAAGCTATTGCATATTTTTTTTTCAACTTATGCAATTATAATTATTTATTTATGCAGTATTTTTTTTCTTTGATATTAATTCAAGTTTTTTCTTTGATAAATTAATTGAATCTACTACTCTACTAGACTCAGACTAACTCGCCTATATAGTCTATCTCACTCTAACGCGCACCGGCTGCACCGATCTCGTCAGAGAGATGTGAATACGCAGAATGCTTTCTGTTCCGCTCTAACGAGCATTGGCCGAACCTATATTACGTCATCGTGTGTTAGGTTTATTTTCGTTACGGAATTTCTTTAGGTCGCCGCGCTCGAAGCCTGCGATAAAACCTATGCAATAGCTTAAAAATTATGTGACTAAAAAAACTTTTAAACATGTGTTAACATAAACATTACTTTCACTAAAATAAATCAAATTCAGAAGCGCAGTTCACGACGTCTTCATAATCTAAGTCTACCTAAGTGTATAGAACCAATTAAAAAGACTAAAAGACCATCTCTTGAGTGATCCCAGTTCTCTACGTAAATGAAAGTCCACACAAGTTCTACTTCGCTAATTCATCCTTGAAGCTCTTCAATGACCCACGACGTGATAAATTGTATCTTTAGTATATAAGTTCTCATGTAAGTGACTATTGTCTGTTATGAGAATAAATGTCTTTAATCCTAATGGGTTTGGCAGACAATGATTCTTTGAGACAATGAGGTTCTTGTACTCTTGTTATTAAGTTAAAGCACACTGTGGTAGTCTGTTTGAAAAGTGTGCAATTATTTTGGGCAAACCTTTTAATGAATCTAACCCCAGGTGATACTAAGCCATTCTCAATCATTATTCAGAGTAATACCCGTTCAATATAGCAATCTATCAGCTAAGCTTAACGAAACGGCTTACGTAAGCACTAAGCGAACAGCGATAGGTATAAATTTCAGAGATATCATAAATGTTTTGTTGTCACCCGGTCCCCGCGGTTTCTGTGTTAATTTGATTATGGCTTTATTATAGTTGTGAAGGTAACATCACTATAAAATTAATTTTATTACTATTTTGATTATTATTTTTATATAATTAAAATAATTATAAAAAAATTATTTTTAAAATAGTAATATTTTGGTCAAAATTTGTTGCCCATATCTTGCAATGCTCTCGCTTTTTTCAAAGATTACGCAGCCTATACAACAGGACAATAAGAAATAATTTTTGCGTTTTGCAGATATTTTAAGGCTTCACTCCCATTGCTGACAGATCATAGGTCGCTAGATCTATTCAAAATATTAGAAAATAGTTTAATAATATGAAGTTTGACCAAAGTAATTTATATGATAAAAGGTATCTGTTTACAATGTTCCGGGAGCATATTTAACAATGGACTGTAATCCATAGAGGCAGTAATAAAAGCTCCCTGCTGAAATCAATTATGTAACACAATGCCTAGAATTAATACACAAAATACACACTATATAAGAAAGTAATAACACACTTGAGGGCTGGGACCTCACTCCGTCATGATTCTGGCGACAGTAAAAAATATTTAAAAATTGTTAATTCTTAAGTTCAAATTCAAAAATCATTTAATAATATTATAGGTAACACATTGTATACTTATGATCGTCAAAAAAAAGAAATGTATATTAAATGCTTCTAACTTTACATTTAGTGCCAACTGCCAGTTCTCAAATCAAGGGCGTAGAACGGAAGAGAAGAACTGGCAATAAAATCTCCGCCACTCTTTTTAATCGCCATTTTTTTTTTACACATAGTTTGTAAAAGTTTGGTAGCAGCGCCGTTTATAGTTCAATTCAACAAACACCACCTTTCAAAACTGTAACGTTAATAAGTTATATTATTATTATGAGGTTTGAAAATCGTAGCTCATACCCCAAAATATTCAGTAGAGTTGCACAGAACTATCTGTCTCTTTTCATCACAGCGTTAACTCAAATAGCCTTTTAACAAACCATAGTCTATATTGCAATCTAGCGGAATATAATCTCCTAGTTTGAAAAATAAATTGTGCGTGTACTAGGTGTACACACGTAAGAAGTGAAACTTCTTTATGATCTTATTTTTCGAAAAATGATCTACTATATGCAACTTTACAGAAATTCGTTAAATTAGATAAAGTTTAACAAAAGGCTTTTATTATCATAGACATGAATACAAATATTTCATTTTACCTTATTACTACGAAGATTATTATAGAATTTCATTAATTGTAATATAATTATTACTATCATTGAAAAACGTGACGATTTGCTACAAAATTTCTCCCATACGTCGATAAAGAAGTTTCATTCCAACGCCGATAAAGAAGTTTGACTTCAAAAAGCAACATGGCGCGTACCCGAAAAATGTGACGCGTAACGAAAAAATGTTACACTAAATTTTTTTCCAACCTCGATAAAGAAGTTTCACTTCAATTATTACCAGCATGTCAGTCAGCGTTCAAAGAGAATTTATGACGATCGAAGGTTACAGAAGCGAAAAACTAATTTCCCTACAAAATCTTTGTGGCATATTTATCGTGCACTCTGTTTCGGATAGGTTATTTTGCGTTAATAAATATAACGTGACTTGACATAGTTTTATTTTGGCAATGTATTTGAATTGTCCTGTTACGTTTAGGCTAACTAAATGTATAAATAAATCAGTGGCGCTACAACCTTTTTGGGTCTGGGCCTCAGATTTCTGTATCTGTTTCATGATCATTTGTCAATCTAATAGGCAAAAAGGTGATCAGCTTTCTGTGCCTGACAAACGCCGTCGACTTTTAGAGTCTAAGGCAAGCCGGTTTCCTCACGATGTTTTCCTTCACCGTTCGAGCGAATGTTAAATGCGCACATAGAAAGCAAGTCCATTGGTGCACAGCTGGGGATCGTACCTACGACCTCAGGGACGAGGGTGGCACGATGAAGCCACTTGGCCAACACCGCTCATTAGGCTAACTAAAGTGACCTTAAATAAAGAGAATGGGAAGTCGGTTACGTCTCTGAGGCTTTCGTTTACAATGTAACGTTTTAGTGCGAATCGCGTGTGTAAATTTTGATCAGTGCCTATGTAATGATATCGTTCGTAAGCTGAATGCGATCTAGTTATGTAATCTCATAGCTTGATAAATGTCAATGATTGATCAATGATCAATCTCACTATCAAAATTTCGGCTATGATGTAGGTTTAAATTTTTTCTGAAATATCACTAGCAGGCCGTGACAAGAACGACACAAATGAAGAATACTACTGAAAAGAGAACGTCAATAAAACGAATGTCTCAGTATTCCATTTACTATCAATTCTCAAATCAAGAACGTACTTAGAACGAATAACTCTGCCGCTTTTGCCAAGTATTTTGTTTTACAAGATGCTTGTGAACTATAACTAGAACTACCACGACACGGAAATATGTTTCTATGAAAAAACTTTTTGCCGTATTGGAAGAATTTACTTAAATACTAGTGCCAATTGTCTCATGAAATTAGGTTGATTGAAAGTACCGACTGCAGTGCATTGGGGTGATTTGTGAATCGTAAACCATTCCCAGATCCCTTGAAAAAAAACCACAAAAAATTTCATCAAAATCGGTCCAGTCGTTTGAGAGAAGTTCAGTCACATACACACGCACACAAGAAATATATATATTAAGATACCGACTGTGTTGTATTGTATGCCACGTCAACGTTCTTATCCTGGTATACTTAAACAATAATAGTATTATACAAAAATGAGTTGAGAAAATATTTAGGATATACTCAAGATACGTAGAAAAACAGATTAATTTTTAACAAAAAATGTTATTTGTGATCTCTAGAGGATTCTACGACACTTAATAACCTTTTCTTGGCTTTGTAACTGAAATATGTAGATATTGTCATGTACATACATTAACAAGCACTTTTTACCCACAAAGAAAGGGTTAAGTTAAAATATATTGCTAAAACGAGTGTTTTATAAAAATATTTGGACGTTTTCAGCATATAATACAGGTTTTTATCCTGACTAATAATTATATATTATTTTTTGTGACCTTTTAAAATATTATTTTTTTATTTTTATTTAACGCTAATGGGCATGAGGCTCATCTGATGTTTAGGCATACCACCGCCCATAAATACACATAGACAGAGGGATCGCAAGTGTTTTGCCGGCCTTTTAAAATTATCAACGGATCGTATATTATAACTGCAGCCATTTTTTTTTGTTACATAGAATTAGGATCTTAAAAGACTTGTTTATTTATACACAAATAATCAACATAAAATACATGATAAATGTAAAGAGCGAATACAATGTATGCCTTATAATTTGTAAGTGACCTCTTCCGCAAATGAAGAGTTTGTGGCACATGCGCACGGGCAACTTTGTAGTAATACTTTGAAGTTTATGCAAAATCAGTAAAGTGAAAAAAGTGCATTGTGTTAATGAATTGTTTGATTTCCTACCCTTGATCTAGTCTTTATAACTTAGATGATACATCTCTACTAAGAAGATTTTGTTTTCAAATTCGACCGTCGCCAAGTGGCAATCCAGGTCTCTATATGAACGAAACAACGAGGGCGTATTTTATTTTGTGATTCGTCAACAGTGGACCAATCACAGACACGCGACACGATGCCGTTTGGCGAATCACACACAAACGAAACACGCTATTCGTTTTTCGTTTTATCACAACTTTTTTAAATCTCTAATTGTGATATCGTCACTGTAGAATAATAACCTCGTATGTCAAAAAACCATTTATTTTTTATTCTTTACTACTTACTCTTATGTCATTTAACTGGTATATAATAATAATGTATTTATCAGACAAATACAGTCCATTGATTGATTAGTAAGTTAGTAACAATAGTTTCTTAAGAAAATTAAAAAGTATAATCCTGAAGTAGGGACGTATAAAAAGGACTTATTTATTAATGACATAATCATTAATAAACAAGTCCTTTTTATCATCCAAAACTGTGGACAAAAACACATAATAATATTTTAACGAACATTGACGAAATGAAACATTTTTTTCGTTTCCTGTAATGTTTGGTTCTCTGGACATACGAGCTTATCATTCTACAGCGACGATATGTTTAAAATATTTCCGGAATCTAATACTCACTAACCTCTAATTCATCCATATGGTTATTTTTCTCTATGGTCAAATTTGATGTCTCCTCCGTTTCCATCTCCATTTTAAATATTCACCGCTCTGTAGTCGTGATGTTTTAAGTTATGAAATCGCTCAGAGTGAGTGCTCGTCCTATTTTCAAATAAAACATTGTTTTACATATGGGAACCTGAAACAAAAATCTTTATATTAAAATTCTCATGTAACTTTTCCAAATATTGATTTTATTGTTAAAGCGTGCCGTGGTTTACGGATATATATGAAAGAGATTTAACGAAATATATTTTATAGGTAATGAAATTAAACAAACAAAGATTTTAAAAGAACTGCGAAATCTAAAATTATAATATTAAATAAGTAGTTTCATCGTTGTTTATTAATTGCACTTGGGTTTGAGTGTTTCTTTAATAATTTTTATTTTATCGATAAGTAGATTATCAACCTTATTTGTCTGATAGAAAATTTTTGTATCTAAGACATACCGGTTACGTCTCAATGTTTGCCTTCAGCATGGTGTTAATTGCACACATAAATAAAAAAAGTAAAAATCATTCGTGTACAGACGGGAATTGAAGTACCTCATGGTGTAGCAAGCTTAGACCAACACAATTTTTTAGTTGTGTATATCAATACTACTCTATATTTATGTATATCAATATATGTTTTTACATAAAACAAATGTTATGAAATTTTAACGTTGAGTTAAAAAGTGAAATTAACAAGACATCGATCACCGTCTAACAAAACTGTCTAAAAATCTATATACAATTCAGATTTAAAAACTCACTGAAACAACAATTTCATGTTACACGTATGATTTATTTATTTATGATTGATTGATTACTAAACAAATAACGACCTAACATACATTTTATACTATAAAAAACAATTATACTAAACGTACAGCCAAAGATGTAATATATATGTTAACGTAAAATTTTAAAAACCGTTAGATTGTAATCTATCTCGCGAGATTATAAACTGTCGAAAGATTGTGAACCTCAGCGTACTGCTTACAATTTAACGTAGGTATTATTATTCGGTAGATTGTAATCTATCGAAGTGAAACCGTCAAATTGTGAAACGGCCATTTCCTACTTTTCTATTGGTTATAAGAGATGTGACATTCTCGTTTTCTATTGGTTATAAGTGATGTGACATTCTCGATAAATTAATCGAATCGATTATTTCCTCATTTGTTAATTTTAAAGTTGAACCTAATCGAATGGATTATTTCCTCATTTGTTAATTTTAAATTTAAACCTAATTTAACCATTACTTGTCAAATGTACATACATTACATTAACTTCATGTTTCAATTAGGGTTCCGAAAATTTTGAAATTATTCAAAAATAATCTATTTTTTAAAAGTGAAAATCGATTTTTGTATTAATTTTTGTATTCGATTTCGAGTTTCAGTTGAACAGTTATTTAAAACAAATATTAATATACTAACCTAACCTAACCGAATAATAATACATTTTTTGGACAGCACCGGGAAATGCAGCCCCTCCACCCTTGCGTACCAAAGCACAGGTTATTTATTTAAGCCTCCGCAGCTTTGGCATTTTGGACCAGCCTTAGCCGCTACGGCTTGCATAATGCCTGTGCTTTGTTACAGCGGGTGGGGGCTGCTCTTCCACTGCGCCTCCGATTTTTTTATATACACTCTAGGGGTAGGGCAGACAAGACCACGTGGATAGTGGGGTGCTCTGATTCGGTTTTGGGTACTTTTTGAATAATTTAAAAATTTTCGGAACCATACACTAATTGAAACATGAAGTTAATGTAATGGTTAAATTAGGTTTAAATTTAAAATTAACAAATGAGGAAATAATCTATTCGATTAGGTTCAACTTTAAAAATAACAAATGAGGAAATAATCGATTCGATTAATTTACCGAGAATGTCACATCACTTATAAACCAATAGAAAAGTAGAAAATGGCCGTTTCACAATTTGACGGTTTCACTTCGACAGATTACAATCTACCGAATAATAATACGTTAAATTGTAAGCAGTACGTTTGTTAAAAACATAAGGGTGCGTCCACATCTGGCGACTGTGCAGCTCACGGCAATGGTTTGGTGCGCCTCTTTAGCGCAACTCATACAAGGCTCGTACAAGGCGCGCGCGCGGCGCGCGAATTGCGCGCACTCAATTCTCGCGCTTACAGTTCCGTTTACTGGCGTGGGTGGAAGGAAGACGCGAGCCGCTAGCGCGCCGCCCGCACGCTGATCGCGTACGACGCTTAGGTTGCGCGCGAACTGCGCGCGGGCGGCGCATGAGCGCAGCTCGCAAACGGCTCGCGAGCTCCATATTCGTACTCGTGGCATATTCGCCAGATGTGGACGCACCCTAAGAAAACGGCTAAGATTGAGAGTCGAATCTCACCTGTATCTCAAATACAATACATTTATGAATGATGGGGCTAAATATTACGATTACATCGTTGCCTCCTTTGAATTGTGAATAATTTTTATATCTACATAAGATATAAAAATTATTTTTAGTTAAAGTATTTGTGTTTTGTAGGTATATCTTTGTACAAAAACTAAATTGAGAGAAATAAACAACAATTAATTGAACGGAATTTTTACTTTGTCAAATGATTTTTACATCAAACAACCAATCTATTTTCGATTTCATTAAACAATTTTTGTGTTGACGTAGATTGATAATTTGGGAAAATTTGTACTTTAAGAGAAATAAACAACAACAAGGATTGACCACATTTATGTCTATTAAAAAGTATATTACCATAATAAATGAACATGAAATTAAGCTCTGAAAATTTAACCATATGGGGAAACAATCCTATAAACCCACATTAACCTTATAAATCCCAAAAGGGTTTTTATTGTGTATTTACGTTGAGCCCTCGCTAATTATGAACTTCCCTGCATAGTATACGATAAATGTATAAGAATAATAATGTAATTTTTGGCAAGAAATTAAGTTATATCATATATTATATAGATGAAGTGCAGCTACATTCTATGCGTAAGTGTTACGAGTTACATACAATAATATAAAATAAAACCTAAAAAGAAAAATTAATAACAATCAATTAAAGATGGATAAATTTATAATCTTTGCCTTTGTATAATGCAAACGTTTTTACACTTCGTCATAATTCAACTTAAAGCCAGTCCGTGATTTAAAAAAAATATACCAAAATTACTATGAGATTGAATTTTCAGTGGTATCATATGACCAGTTAGACATTTACTGTACAAAAGTAGTGCTATAAACATGTACTTGTGGACCAGTTTTACGTTAGTTGGTTTACGAACCCATCAATAACATACATGTAATGCACTCGTTGATGCCAACGGAAAATCTTTCCGTAAGTACCAGCGAATGCACTGATACCATTGTGTCCAGTGACTTTTTTTCCATCTCTCACATTTTTATTAAAAACATATTTAAATTAAAATCATACTCATTCGTGTTACGCGTCCCGCGAGATTTGCCCCGGCTACATCGGTATATGAGGTGATATTGAGTTAACTGCTTTATCCCAATATGTATTTAACATTGTTTGCTTGGGTATAGCGGAATACGAATAGAGAAAATACCATTTATATTGCGGAAATGTTAGAGAGACTGGGACTGCAAGTATCAAATAACCATTCAGCATGGAAACCGTACAAACGTAGACAATGGAGAACCGTACACGCGCTTACCGCTCAACAATATGGCGTCTGAGGTTTCCCATATATGGTTTACATACACTGACTTGATGAGAGTCGAATTATTAATAATCGGTTGATAAAAGACATAGGTGTTTATTTATACTTGATTTGTTTTTTATTGAATAAGTGAGATCACTTATTTTAATTAAATTCTCAGGTCCTTATAACTATACGTTCTCAGGTCCTTATACTATTCATAATCTGGATATAGCGGAGAGACTGGGTCTACGGATACCAAGTAACCTGAGGCGGAAGTCTCAACTTTTGGATGTACCGCGCGCACATTCCAACTTGGTTAGCGAAGCGCCACTCACGCGAGCAATACAAACAATAAACAGAATTTCTATCGAGGTAGACCTATTTGTTTGCACAGTGGCTGAGTTCACAAGAGTTGCTTGCTATATTGTTAGTTATAAGATTTAGGTATATAAATATATTTTTTTAATGTTCTTTATGTAGGATAATCGGTGTTGGTATTATTGTGTCGTATCGCAGTTGTAGTAACTGTTAAGATAGAAAAGGGTGCGTGTACTTATGTACGCGCGTAAGTTATACTCCTTTGGCATTATTAATAATACATACGGATAGTTAACCTCAATTGTATTGAAGCACTTAGGAAGGTTGATGAGCACAGTTTTTTCACAAATATTTTCTAATATTAATTAGGATTGATTTAAATATTCAATTTAAATCACTTCTGATTATAATTCAGACGCACATATAAAATTCGCACTTGTATAATGAAAACAAAATGAAAACACGTGTTTTAAATGTAGAAACTCAAAGCATGTGGATAAATATTATTAATATAAATACACAGTGAACAGAGGCGGCGTGCGGCGTGCGTGCCAACAAGCGCCACTAACACGATTTAGTGGGCAACATCATTCTGTTAATTTTGTGTCACGGTGCGTGCGCATCGTAAAATTTCACTCTCATCAATTTTTCATAACGCGCCTAAAGAAGTATAACTTTAATAATGATGTGGAAATAAATAAATAAAAATGTTACGCTCCTCTGATGCTTTTTGGAACTTCCATATCACAGCTCATACTTTTTAGGCAATTCGTTCAGGATCTCCGCCACTAAGTTTTGGAATAGGCTGCCCGACTCCATACTATTGGCTACCGCTCTAACCTCTTTTAAAATTCTTCTACATAAACATTTCTTAACCATATCCTATCCTGCCTGCTCAATCGTGACTTTTGTAATTCTTGTATTTCTTATTCTTTTGTATGTAATTCATGAATCCGTGAGATTAGCTTTTAGTTTATTTTTTTTATTATTTTAGATTGTTTGGTTGTTCTATAATTTTGTACTTGTAATTTTGTTTTTCTTCATTTTTCCTTAATAGGGTTGCCTGGAA